GTATAAGCCGCACCGGTCTATAAGCCCCCATGGTTCAAAGTTCAGGAAAAAAGTCGCAGCTTATAGTCCGAAAAATACGGTAAATAGTTTTTCAAATTATCATTAGTCCTTAGCTTAAAACAGAGATTAGCTTTCARAATGTCATGGGTCTTGCTCCTGTCTACCATCAGACCAAATTTCAGCTCAATATTTTTAAAAATGGCTGAGTYATATCCATTTGAAATTAGCTTTAAAGGTTAGCATAATTTGGGAYTACTTATCAGCATGTGCTCAGGATCATTCTTAGCTTCACCACAACAAATTTCAGCTCAATAAGTCTTAAAACGGTAAAATTATAGCCATTTAAAGTTAGCTTTGGTAGCCATTTTGAATTTTTGAATTAGCATTTAGAATTTATTAAAGATTTTGTTCGGCTACTACTACAGTCATTTTCAGTTTCGTTTGTCWAAAAATGGCTGAATTATAGCTTCTTTTAAAATTAGCTTTAGCGGTTAGCTTGGAATTGTTGTGATTTTGTTTTTGATAATCCTTAGCTATGGTCACACAAAATTTCACGTCATATCTTAAAACAGCTGAATTCAAGATATTTAAAACTGACTGTGGCGGTCATCTTAAAGTTTTAAATACAGGGTGAAATTTTTTTTTAATTTCTTTGTGTCCTCTCTAAAAAAACTCACATTGGCCACCCCTTGCAAAAAATCTAGCTCTGCCTCTGGAAGAACATAGGTTTTGTTTTTTTTAGATATTCTGCATCGGACTGATCTGGGTTCAGACCCTCTGAGGATTTTCAGTATCAGTGAAAACTAAAAGTTTGCAGAAAAGTGGAGCATTATTAGGTGTTTGTTTTATGTAACCAAAGTTTAAGCTGGTGATTATGATGATGAGGGAACGGGTTCTAAAGCAGTATTGAGTTTTTCTTTACAGAGGACGGAGGTCACTGAGGGTCATTAAAAAGCTGAGACCAGTAGAGTTGGCTGTAATGAAAGGTCATGAATGCAGTCAGTCGATGAKCCGGCTTATTAACAGACTGTGGGACGGGCGGTCAGAGGGTCGGTGAAATCAATCAGGCCTCGTTCTGCTCTGAATATATTTAAACCGAGACAGAAAAATGGAAGAAATCTTCAGGAGGAGGTGATAAGTTAACCTCTGCTCCTCACAGAAAYGCGAGCATAAACTCTGGTTAATTTAAACTATGAATATGCAGGAGTTTCAGCTCCACGTTCAGTCTGTGTGGAGGCTGCTGGAGTTTTCTGCACTGCTCTGCACCAGWGTTTGTTTCAAGGCTTCAGAATACCTCCTGAAACATGTAAACATTATAAAAYATGTACAGGTTCTGCAAACCTTGATGCCGAGTTCAGAAATGAGAGTTGGCATCCACAGAAGGAGCCCGAGGCTTGTTAACAACGTGAAACACTAAACCCGTGTCCAGAATCATCATTTCTCTGGTTGGTTCTTGATTTGCCTCTGTGTCTGCAGTGATTTCCAGAGCTACACACTCCCTCAGGATCCTGAAAACACCAAGAAAGAKAAAAACTGTGACATCATCCTGGACTGCTGTCCTGAAAGGTGATGCAACATTTCGTTCTGATTTTATAGTCGTYGTGTTCTTTTATTGTTTTCCGCCTGTTCTCCGTGCTGTAATATTGATTCAGTGCAGCAGAACCTGACCTCCTCCTCCGTGCAGGTCGGCACGTCTGTCTCCTGCTGCTCTGGGTTTGGGTCTGGATGTGGAGGAACTGGCTGAGGACTGTTGTGCAGTCAGAGCCCAGCTGGAGTTCCTGCAGAAGTTACTGCTGCAGGTAAGATATTTACTAACCTGTTACAGGCCTTCAGTTTTTTGTTTTAATATAAATAACATGATGGGTTTTTTTTTACGCTCCAGGTTAGTTTTGACTCATTTTATAACTGAGTAAAGACCAGATTAGTTTTATTACGCCCTAAAACTGTTAGGATGGACTTTGAGTTTCCTGTTTTTTGCAGGAGGAGGATCAGGACGAAGACACTCTGACCACAGACACTTTGAGTCCAGAGAGCATGGACCTGCCCCACAGCTCTGACTCACAGGTTCGGCAGATCCACCATAAAGACGGCCTACATTTCCCTGAATCCCTCTGCTGAACTTTGTTTCTGTCTGAAGGTACAGGRGCTCCTGCAGGAGGTGCAGCAGCTCCGAGAGGAACTGAGGAGCCGAGACCGAACCATCGCACAGCTGAGCCTGCAGCTGGTCTGTTGCTTTACTCACTTCACATCATTTAACATCATTTAACCATCAATAACCATGATTTAAACATTTTTAACAATCACATAACCATAATTAACCATATTTAACCAACATTTAACCAACATTTAACCAACATTTAACCATCCTTTAACTCATTTGACCATAAATAACCATCTTTAACCTTCATTTAACCTCATTTAACCTTATTTAACCAACATTTATCATATTTAACTATCATTTAACCAACATATAACCACATTTAACCATCATTTAACCATCAATAACCATGATTTAAATATTTTTAAAAATCATATAACCATAATTAACCATAATTAACTATATTTAACCAACATTTAACCATCCTTTAACTCATTTGACCATAAATAACCATCTTTAACCTTAATTTGACCTTATTTAACCAATATATAATATTTAACTATCATTTAACCATCTTTTAACTGTCATTTGACCATAAATAACCATTTTAACCATCATTTAACCTTATTTAACCAACATTTGTCATATTTAACTGTCATTTAATCAACATTTAACCATATTTAACCATCATTTATTATATTTAACTATAAAATAATCAAAATTTATCATATTTAATTATCATTTAATCAAAATTTATCATATTTAATTATCATTTAATCAAAACTTATTGTATTTAACTGTCATTTAACCATAAATAACCATAATTATCCATCATTTATCCTTATTTAACCAACATTTATCATATTTAACCAAGATTTAACATAAATAACCATCATTACTCATATTTAAACATCACATAGCCATATTTAACTATCATTTAACCATCATGTAAACATTAAAAACAACTTAGACCTTATTTTAAAAAGGACGCAGTCCAACTACTTTTGATAAATTCTTAGAATATTAGAGTAATAATTGSAACTTTGCAGTGATTGTTGCTGTTGAGGTATTTGTCTTTGTGTAAATTTATAATATTTTGCTAAGTTTCTGCCATTTCTGTTTGATAAAAACAATTTGCACATCTTACTGAATAATCTTTAGTGCAATAGAAAAATATTTAGATTTTTAATATAAGGTTTTATAAGACTTTTTAATACTTGAAATATGAAATTCTATTTGGAAAAATGTCAGTTTTACATTTCACATGTTTAAATAATATATATATAAGGACTTTTTACAATTTTTTAAATGAATTCTAGTGAAGTTTCACAAACTTTGGTACATTAGTTCCAGGCAAAGTTTAACATTTTGATAAAAGTTGTCAAAATCCCACTTCTCTGCAACAGAGATCTTTCCATAGAACCCCTTTTAAAATGTCCAAACTATCCCTTTAATCATGTTGATTGTTGCTGTGCAGTTAATATTCCAGTTACTCCACAGTTCTGYGGTGGTCTGCAGCTGGTTTCTGAGGGTAAAAGTAAAGTTTGTGTGTGCAGACTGTTCCCACGCTGACCACCAGGTGTCGCTGTCAGGAGGCATCAGAACGGATGGACCGGGACACGCAGACAAGCGTCACGACGAGCGAGAGCATCGCCTCGCAGACGCCGTGGAAAGAACACGCTGTGAGAACGCACAAAATCACAACAAAATCTTTAAAACATTTATTTAATTTTAAAAAAATCCAGCCTTTAGAACAAAACCAGGTCGATTTGATGCAAACTAAAATCCAAGAAAATAACTTCCTAAAGTCATTTTTTAAGGTTTGTAAACTTCAGAACACGTTCTAACCTTCAGCTTTTAGTGTTTGACTCTTCATTTCTGTCTTTTTCTTGTTTTTGTCTTTAATCTTAAGAAGCAGGTTGTGTTTTAATAAACTGCCTGKTTTGGGTCACACCATCTCCGCTTAGATGCGGTTTCTGTCTCCTGGTTTCACAAACTGAACAGATGGAAAACAGCTTTTATTCACCATCACAGACGTATTGGTTGTTCAGGATGTTTCAGAGCTTCTCTGCTCGTCTCTAGTTTGTGGTCTGAGCGYTGTCTCCCGTCGGTCCCGTCATGTTTTCAGGATGAATCAGAATCTTTTCCTTCTCTGTCCACTCTGCTCTCCGTCTCAGGCTTTTCCTCCTGTTCCTTTCCTCTCTCCACCCTGGCAGTATCAGCGCTCCAGGCCTTACAGGGGCAGGCCGAAGCCCAGCATCCCCTCCTACCTTGCTAGAAAAAGTGAGTCACATGGTCCTGTCCCACCCTCCCCCTCCTCAGTACCGCTCCTTACTGTCTTCAGTGCCTCCGTACCAGATTACAAGAATCATTGGAAGGAGAATAAAGAACAGGACTCTTACACTAAACTGAAATTTTATTTTTATCTCCTGATTCCTTTTAAAATTTCTCGTATTTAAAGATGGGTATTTTGTAATTTACCCATAATCCTCGGCTACAGTAAGAATAAAAAACAGAACTAATCCAGTTGGATTTTCAAGCACAAAGAAGACGTCCTAAAATTTATTCTGAAAGTACTCGTCTCTTTTTTAAAAAAATCATTTTGACTTTTAAACTCCCCTAAATGTCCTCATAGTTTTTAATTTTTTGCTCAGAACTCGTTAGAATCTCTTCCTGTTTGYTCTTTAATTCATTTCTGCTTAAAACCCCAATTCCAGTTAAGTTAGGATGTTGTGTACAACATAAATACGATGATTTGTTAATCCTTTTCAACCTATATTCAGTTAAAGGCACTACAACGACAAGATATTTAATGTTCTGTAGGGGTCACCTCGAGTGAAGAAACAAGATTTATTGCCTCGAAGCAGGCCTCGGACAGGCCTGACGAGAGGACAGGAACTCTGTCACAAACTGAACTCTATTTAGGCCATGACAGGTCATTCTAACCGTGGAAGAGAACCACTCAGTTCTCTTAATCAGATAATAGACAGAACAATCTCTTCTGTTCGTGATTCATTTGTTGTTTATCTAAGAATGTTTATGCATTTGTTAAATCATGATAATGTCTGTCACAGGAAAAGTGGAACCACTTTTCTTTTATCGAGCCTTAAAGATTAATAATGGTATAAAAACTCACAGAGAATCTCATTACAATGTTTTCATTGTGTTTTTATGTAAATCACTGTTTTTATTTTACTGTGAACACAGTAATATAATTGTGGATTTTTCCAGAGAAAATCTTTATTTTATCTGGACTAACAGAAGGTTCAGAATTGATTATAAAACAGAAATGTTAATTAATCATCATAAATATTTTGCAGTGATTTCTCTTAGAGTCTATCAGAAGAAAGCTGAAAAAACGTCAGCTCTGATGTTAACAACCAGACAATTTTACTGGCACTTTCAGCTTAAGTTTAGGCAAATAAAGAACAAAGAAAAGGAGGAAAGTAAGTTTAGTAGGTTACTACTAATTTTACTTTATCAAAGTGTGGTTCAACCGGATCAGCACGTCTTTTCTGCGCAAAACTTTTTTATTTTTTTTCAAATATTCACTCTGACATTCACATGCTGCAACACGTTCCAAAAAAAAAAAAAAAAAAAAAACTGGAGAAGGGTCAACGAAAGACTGGGAAAGTTGAGGAATGCTCAAAGAACACCTGTTTCGGGCATTTCACAGGTGAACAGGTTAAATGGAATTAGAATAAAGGGAGCATCCCTGAAAGGCTCAGTCGATCACGAGCAAGGATGAGGCGAGGTTCACCACTTTGTGAACAATAGTGAGCAAATAGTTCRACAGTTCAAGAACGATTCTCGAAGTACAATTGCAAAGAATTTAGTGATTTCATCATCTACCGTCCATAAAATCATCAAAAGATTCAGAGAATCTGGACAAGAATTGACATTGAATGTACGTGACCTTTGACCCCTCAGGCAACCCTGCATTAAAAACCCCACATCCTTCTGTGACAGATATTAGCTCATGGGCTCAGGAAGACTTCAGAAAACCATCGTCAGTGAACACAGTTCATCTCTACATCAGTTCTCAGATCTCTACAAGTTAAAGCTCTATCATGCAAAGACAAAGCCAGATATCAACAACACTCAGAAACACCACCGACTCCTCTGGACCTGAGCTCCTCTGGACCTGAGCTCCTCTGGACCTGAGCTCCTCTGGACCTGAGCTCCTCTGGACCTGAGCTCCTCTGGACCTGAGCTCCTCTGTGATGGACTGACTGAGAGCGGAGAAGTGTCCTGTGGTCTGACGAGTCCACATTCCTGTTTGTGGAWCTCATGGACGTGGTGTCCTCTGGGACAAAGAGGAAAAAAACTGTCTGGGTTGTTATCAGAGCAAAGTTCAAAAGCCAGCCTCTCTGATGGTATGGGGGTGCATTAGTGTCCGTGGGTAACATCCGTGAAGGYTCCATTAATGCTGAAAGCTACATGCAGGTTTAGGGGCAACGTCTGCTGCCGTCTAAGCCTCGTCTTTTTCAGGGATGTCTTTGCTGRTTTCCTGTACGTGTTCCACCAGTGTGGCTTTGTTTGAAATGTGCAGGTCCTACACTGGCCTRCCTGCAGTCCAGACCTGCCTCCCACTGAAAATGTGTGGAGCTTTATGAAGAGACCCCGGACCGTTGAGCAACTGAAGAAAGAATGGAAAGAATTGAGCTACAAAGCTTCAACAATCAGTGTCCTCGGGTCACAAACACTGAGTAGTGTTAGAAGGAAAGCTGATGGATAGTGATGTGCAGATCGATACTGAAATATCGATACTACCGATACCAGGAGTTTATGTTCTAGAATCGATATTAAAATCAAAATATTGATACTTTAATACTYAAGTTATTTCACATAATGTATATCATTAACAGGAAAATAGTGGAAAACAACTAAACTATTCAAATCTAAACCATAYGTGGTTGGAGGGAACTACTTTTTCTTCCGCTTGAGGAATTCATAAACACAGTAACATGTGTTCAGTCAGTCTGTAGATGTATGGCAGGTCATTTTAACATAAAATCTGCTTTGTCTGACTGTTTTTACATTCTAGATGAGGGGTTCCCAAACTTTTTCATGCCATGGACCCCCCAAACAGCATTAGCTCTGGCCAGATACCTTCTTGCAAACACACAATGTTACAAAATATATGAGGTAACAACTTTTAGAAT